TGTTACAGCTTCTCAGAGCACAAGCAGATGTCTTTAAATGTCTGAACAACCACTTCAAAGTTCATTATTGACAAAAGAATCTCACCCCAACATCCATTTAGTTGTTGTTTTGGAGCTTTCTAGCACATGATTCTCATCCAGCGTATGGAGCATCCCCAGGAGTCACAGAAAGGTAGAGGTTCTCATTTCCATTTTTACTGAACACTTTAACATCTTCTCAGTTACAAACCAATGAAGTGATGTGATTAAAAGCTCTAGATCAGCTATTAAATGGACCCAAAGATGTCAGAGAACACTAGAAAAAAGCAGAGCCGCCCCCAACTCAAGATTTTCCTCGTCGACTCGTCGCTACACGTTTGTGATTATTCTTTTAATATTTTTAAATACATATAGATTTTTTCAGCTGCCTCTTAAAAGCTAACACAACACGCGGTAATGATTCTGCATCAGAACAACAAGCAAGGAGAATGAACATTTAGTTTATAATTTATTGTTCCAAACACGGTATAAATTACTTCCACCTTCACAAAAACCAATACTCGGACTTCCTGATAGAATGGATGATGTATAACGTTAACGTTACCTAACAAATTAAGTCACTACAAACTCTCTCCTCTCCTGATCGGAGCTCGCAGTCCAGGTAGAGTCAGAAGCTAAGAAACTAGTAAAGTTAGCACATGCAGGTCCGTGTTGCAACAGTCCCGATACTTTACTCCCAGTGACAAGGCTCAGCTTCCGGACGGAGTTTAACATTGTTATTTTCTACTTCAGTGACTATCTAAAGGAAAGTGGGTCGACTTCTCATCGGTTAATGGTTTGGTCGACTATTATGGGGCAGACCTACACAAAAAACTGCAAATCTTTCCTTAGGAGATCCAGGATCCAAACAATTTGTGGTATCTGTAGGTTTCTTTTTCTGGAGTTCCTGTTTCAGTTCTACACATCCTACTGTGCAATCTTAGGGTAACTATCAACAGGCCTCTGACGTAAGTACATCCTAATCATGTCACACTGTTTTTACACACACACACACACACACACACACACACACACACACACACACACACACACACACACACACACACACACACACACACACACACACACACACACACACGTCATATTTGGTGATCACTTTATTGCTCATAACAACATGACAGAGACTTATTGCAAATAAGGTGCTCAGGTTCAACGGCTTATTTGCTCAAAAGCACGCCTTCACTTCACAGTTATTAGCACAGGTAGGACTTTGATTCCTGTAAACAGCAGCGAGTTTGTGAATCATCTCAGAAAACCTAAACATAGCTCTAGTTACTGTTCTGGCTTGACCGACGGTGAGATATAATACAAGATAACCTGTTGTTTCACAGGAAGGAGATCACCAACAATCTGATCTTACCACACTGAGCTTCTACATATTAAACCACACAAGTCACAGGATGGACAAGGTTGGAGAACCTCAGGTATGCGTTTAACATGCCAGAGATAAAGGGTAGAGATTTAAGGCCCCAACATGAAAGTGCACGACAGATTTCACTGGCGACAGAGCAGAAATTAATAAAAAAAGAGAGTACAGTGTCTTTAAATACCAAAACACGCCTCATTAGAAAAATGTCTAGAGACCGTGAAGATGTGTCATTTCACCTCAGTTTAAAGTACTAAAGCCAATGGTGAGGTTTATTTTTAGCTGGGAGTTTTCTGTTTCCCACAAGCAAACTCATCAGTCTAATGCTCATTTTGGCAGGAGTTTGCCATTAGGTAGATCACAGGCCTACTTAGACAGATCTAGTGCTGGCATGACACCTCTACTACTACCCCACACACACACATTTCCAAAAGTCATGACTCATGTTGTCACACTTAAACTCCGCACATCGCAGCGTTTTACAGGCATCAGGTTTGTGAATGAAGAGCTGGTGATCTAGTATGCTAATGTTAGTGACACGTGCATCCATCACATTTTCATATAGTAGCATTTAAGAGTTAGTAAACTGTGAATGTTAAAGCCAGCACTTGACCTTTGACCCTTGTGTTGAAGTGTTACGTATAATGCTTGCTGACAGTATTAGCTTAGTATAGCATAAAGACTGGAAGAAGGGGCTCTGTACAAAGTTCCTCTAAAAGGACCTAATTAACACCCAATATCTCATTTATTTAAACTGTACACAAATATAAAAGGTAAAAAAACTTTGTGGTTTTAGGGGGAGTTACGTTATGTAACCATTTCTTGCAACAACGCGATTTTTAGCAATTACCTTTAGAAGTAAAACTTTTCTCTACATTTCTGTACGAAGCCCCGAGGAAGAGTGCTGGGCTTTGAAGCCCATTTGACATAAAGGCCAAACTGTTTAATTACAGCAACGGCGTCCATCATGTGACGCACACCGGCCAAAGAATACACTTTCCCATAAGGTTGCATTGTGAAAGAAGAGGCTGTAAATCAGTGTGTGTGTGTATATATAGGCTTAACTATTCCTTTCTGTAGTATCTGACCTCGCTAAACCTGTGGTTAGCATTTGGAAAGAGAATAAAAATTTATGAAAACTGAGTTTTTTGCACATTTTTGCACACGTTTGTCACATAAATATCCAGTTAATGAAATTACAGTTGATTTATATTATTCCTTATTTTGGTGGGGTCCCTCTGCAACCTGTCGGCCTCAGTTCAGGAAGCTCAGTTTGGGCGAATACTAAAAACTAAAGTTGGGAAATAAATATCAACAGCAACAACAATATTTTCTGATAAACAGACATTATGAGAAGGAAAAATAAACAAAAAGTTCATTAATAGTAATATTGATTAATAGGCCACTCCTTTATTAAACTGTACTCCAGTCCAAACAAACTGCACATGGACCTGCCTACCATGCCATGCCACACTAGAGGAGCCAACTGGCACCAAGTCCTAAACTTCTCCCACTGTTCCACATGTGGTGACCATTAGACCCGGGTCATTAAACACAGCGCTCTCAAACTGCTTTTTCTTTTGTCTTAAGTTTGTTTACATCCATCCAGACAAGAGAGAGTAAAAACAATGGATCCAAACCATCTGGTGAACTGGTGAACGGACAACAATACAGCCACCCACAGAGCAAAAATAAAAGATTTCACTAAATAACTAATGGCGTGTTTGCAGACATGAAGATGACATTAGGTGAATGGATACAACGCCGTATATTCTGGATATAGTTGATGTTGGGACATATTAATCGAATGATTGTTTTCATTATTCATAAGGTTTTTTAATTGTTTAGTTTCCTGAATGTGAATCAACTAGTCGATTAATAAACTAATAGTTTCAGCACTATATATGAATATTATGGTGCTCCAGTAGTTTCCAGTGAATTACATTTCTTGTCGACCAACATTTTTATGGATTTTATGCTCCACCCCTAAAAATATTAATATTATAAATATTAAAAAGGTTAAAATTATTAGTCAAGTAATCTATTAGCCAAAAAAATCAATCAGCAACAATTATGATTATCAATTATTCTTCAATTGTTAAGTTGCTTCCCTTTCAAGCTCAAAGGAGAAACTACGGTGGCCATGATACGTGTGAAAAATATGAACGGCCCTATCTAGAGCCAGTGGTTTGTCCATTCTGGGCTACTGTAGAAACATGGCGGACTCCTTGGAAGGCGACCTGAAGATAGAAAAAGCTCATTCTAAGGTAACGAAAACATAATGACTTCTATATTTAGGTGATTATACACTAATGACAACTGTTTCCAGCCTCTCAAACACGAGGATTTTATGCTTTTCTTTAACACACATGAGAGCAAATGCATTATTTTTTGTTGGGATAAGAAATTTGGATTTCTCATTTGGCTCTGAGAAATTATAACGACCATTTTGCAAAATTTTTAAATGAGAAATCAAGAACAGATTAAGTTAGTTGCAGCGCTAGTTTGTTTTCTCCAACTACTTATCAAAAACACACAAAAAAATGGTATTCAAAGCAGAGAAAATCCTAATTTTTAAAGCTCTAGACAGCATTGATAAATCACATAAATGATTACTCAGTTATCAGGATTAATTTCCTATCAATAAACTCATCAACTAAGAATCGACTCATCTTTTCTCTGCTGCATATGAATCTTTGTGTTTCAGTAGTTTCCAGTGAATAATACAAATGCTTGTCAATCTTCATTTGTAAAGATTTTTGTTAATTACCACTAAAATAATCAGATTCAGTTGTTTTCTTCAGTGAGATATTGTGAAGCTTCGAGAATCCCCCAAACAAAATAAATAAAATGTCTGTTATCAATTAGTCAATCAACAGAATATTCATTAATTGACATTAAGTAATAGTTTCAATCATTTTTCCAAACAGAAATATAATTTGCTTGTTCCAGCTTCTCAAATGTGACCATTTATTTATCTTATATGATAATAAATTGAATATATTTGACTGTTTGAACTGTTATTTTGATATTTTAAGATTGCACATGGGCTCTGGGAAACCACGATGGAGCATTTTCCACCAGTTTTATGACAGTTTACAGCCAAAACAATGAATCAAACAATCATTAGTTATATTTCACACAGATAATACTAAGTTATATCAATGAGGAAGAAGTCATTTAGAAATGGGACACCGTGTGCACTGCTCTATCAGAACATACTGTATCTCTTCAGAGGGGTTAAAACTACATTAAAGGGGCTCATTAGTCTGTAGGAAAGGCATCTGAATCTAAATGCTGCCACACAATTAATCGGCACCTTGCACACACACACACACACACACACACACACACACACACACACACACACACACAGGAGGAACCTGGAGTTGTGTGTTTGGCTGGCCGGGTCAGAGGAGGCTGTGCAGCCCGCATGGCAGAGCTCGCAGCTTCAGAGCCACGCTGCAAGTGTTGAACGCCTAAAAATAAAACTCTCACCGGCACAATCCGTTTATCCTGCAGCGCCACAAACACTGCAAACAACGACAAGCGACCGCGACCCGCTGCAGGAGTTCACACCGGGAGGAACACTCACCTTTGAGACGGTCATAGGGTGCGAGGTGCGGCGGCAGGTGGTGGTAGTTTGTCCCTGAAGAGTGAAGTAGAGGTGGGTGCTGCTGGTGGTGGTTGGTGGTGCTGGAGAGTCTCTTTATAACAGCGGTGGTTGTTGCATGGTGGTCAGTTTAAAGTCAGGATGCCCGGGCTCGACCTTGAGACTCCCCCAAATAGGAAAAGAGAGGAAAAAGCTCACAGACAGAGACTATCCCTCCTCCTGTACATAACGTTGTCAGCATGGAGGGAGGGTGAGGCGGGGGGAGAGAAAAAAAGAAAAACAAGAGCCTGAGGAGGAGGGCGGAGGATGAGGAGAGATGCGAGCACAGGATGCGATGAGGGAGGAGGAGGAGGAGGAAGAGGAGGGAGGGAGGAGCGAGGCGATCCAGGTTTGATTTGAAGCATACTGTATATTTAAAGGGTGAGAGATAGCATGAAAGAGCTGACTGAACCGACATAGATACACCGATTTAAACGCCTTCATATTAGGTTTTTCTCTCCTGCAGAAATGAGGCCAAATAAAAAAAAAAAATCTTATATAAACTCATTTATTTATTTATTTTCATTTTTTTTGCATCCATTTTGGTTGTTTTAACCACATGTGTGTGTGAACTTTACACAGGGGCAGTCCTGTAATGTGTGTTTTACTCACATTTTGTTCCTTTAGATTCACAAAACTATGTATAAACTCTACTTATGAATATTGTGTATATTTCACGCTCATCCTGCAGACGCTTTATCATATCATTCTAATTTTTCTTAATTTTTTTCTCTATCTGAATTAATGTGTGCTTAACATGTTGGGATCAATCCAAAGTGCCCAATTCAGCCTATTTAGTGTTAACAGATGGAACTATTGATGGAGTTCATGTTTGCCAGGGGTCCTAATTTACAGTATCACACACTATTGGGTGGGTTAGAGGCACTCTGTCAATCATTCACAGTCACTGATTTCTTTGTGTCCCTATTTTTGTTTTACACATTTTCCAGATGACAAATATTACATAAAAATGTTCTGAGAAGAAATAAGTTTAAATCTTTGTTGTTTATCACTGTAGTTTATTCTTGAGGTCCCCAGGGGCCGCAGTTGGTTGTCCTTCTGTGTTAAATATGTTTTTATTGCGGGTTATCAGTTTTAGTTTCTTGTGAATGAAAGACATTTCTTTTGTGTCAATATTTATAGATTTAAAAATAGTCAGATTCAGTGTCTAACATGAGATTTGAGGAAACTTCTACAATATAAACAGTGTTAAAGTGTCTTCTCTGTATTTATCATTATTTTACATCATAAAGGTTCAAAGTGACTTCACTTTAAATGAATGGTCATTTGTGTCATGTTTCAGTCTTGTGGAATATGTGTTTACTGCAATTAACACATGTTTTATTTGATTGTTTTATTAATATCATGTATATAATGTGATGTAGATGCCAGTAAGATTAAACCCAAAACAAAACAATCTCTAAAGTACATACATTGTTTATTGAGTTTTGTTTATTTTTACATTTACGTTTGTCAGTGTTGTTTGTTCTTATATATTTTATTTGTTTAATGGTTTAATCAGTCTCCTGTCATTTGTTGTTGTGTGCACTTTAGTGTAAAGCACAATGATTTTCTTTGTAATGAAATGAAGAGCTACATAAATAAAGGAACCTTGCCATCCTAAGATCAAACAATTAATTAAAACAATTGAAATCTTTGTGCAGGAAGAAAAAAAAACGGTCAAAAGTTCTAATCGATTACATTTACCTAAATAATATCAGACACCTTAAAGATATTAAAGGTTTCTTAATGCTCTAAGAAATATGTCATTTTCACCCATAAGGAACATTATCATATTTGAAAGAAAGTTAGTCTTTGCTAGTGAGATGTTTGGGAAAAAACTCTGAATGAAGCTGTCATGTGTAGCCTTTACTGTGTGTGTAAACTCTTTGTTGGGTATTATACTATCCAATAATCACAACTTTTCCACAAATTTGACCAAACATTGTAGTTTCCTGTGAGTTTTATCAATCAAAGCAGTCCCCCATGTAAAAATCATTGAGCCATTCGTCGCCAAACTAATAACAAGTTTATTCTCACTGGAAAAAGTTGTCTTTGATTTTTAATGAATTATACATAAAAGTTGAAGTTGTTTCCATTTTTTCCCACAATTTATTTTAAAAAAAAGCGCCTCAAAACATTGTAACATGCATCACTAGTTTTCAGAAAAGCTGCCATCAATGAGCCTTTTTAGGCCGCAACAATCCCTTAAAAAAAACCCGGGAAGGACTGTTAGAGCCTCACAGATCAGTTTTGCCTCAGGGCCCTGAAACGGGTGTAACTGTGTGATACATATCATAGTACTTTGCATGGATTCCATATGTTGTTGGCTTTGTGTGTGTGGACAGCTGCCTTAACTGATGGTGAACGAAACAAACCACATTCACTCAAAGAGAGATCATTTCTAGACAATCAAATGTAGATTCTCAGCTCCAGGTGAGAAAAAGTAAAAGCTAAACAAAGTTTCTTTTGCTTAAATACTTACTATTAGATCCCTAAATGTAAACAGTCAGAACATTTAAAGAACATATAATATGTCCTTATGTGAGTGATGTTTGGTGCACATCTTTATTTGAGGGTGTTTGTTGCCCCCTGGTGTTGAAACACAGCCATCACAAGAGTATTTTTTTATTTTTAACAATCATACATACTTAATAGGCTTCTTTTTCGACAGATTCAGTGTTTTCTTCTCAATATTCTGTTAGTTTTATTTGGTTCTTTGAACTTTCCTAATGCAGGACGAGCCCCTTTTTATAGAGTAAGGCTTCAGCGTGCTCTTATCCTGTTTATATCTTAAATAATAACATAAGAAATAACTATTTCATTTAGTTTTCCTCACAGAAATGAATGCAATGTTGAGACCTACTGTGTATATTTTTGAAGTTTTCTTACAACCCTTAAAATCAAGAAGGCCTTGCGGCTCCGTGTGAAGCTTTGGCGACCCCAAGCTTGGGAACCTCAGCTCTAGGGTTCCTTTCCAGTGGACAAACAATGAAGTTCCCTCCCTAGAGAGGCCTTTTTTCTGCCCCTGCTCCTCAAACAGGCTGAGTCCGTCACTGGCCTGTCAGGCCCAGGGGTAAGCCTCGTCATCTGGGTAGGGCAGTGTGGAAACATGGCAAACGAGATGTTTTCTACATGAGAAGTCTTCAGGCTGCTTCCAGCACCTTTAGGCGTGGTTTTACTTTTAAAAAAGTGTTAGTGATGTAACCGGTCTCCTCCTGCCCCTGAGGCTCTGTGGTCAAATAGCTGAACTGCTCGGACAAGTTGTCTGGCTTCTGAATTCTCCCTGGAGTGTAAAACAAACACAAATGCCTTCAAGAACACAGCCGTGGGGTTTGTTCGTGCAGCCTCAACGATCCTCAGAGGAGCTTTTTCTGACAAACGGAGCCAGAAACTTTGTGTCTTTCAGAGATAATTCAGTTAGAAACTGCTCGTATGCAAATGAGACTATTAGTCTTATCAGTACCTACTCATAATGTTGCCAAGCTCTTTGTCAAGATGTCCAGTGAGAAGTCTGAATTGTTTGTGTCATCTTAATCACTTTTTCAACCTGCAGCCATCATTTTAAACATTGTTTAATCATTGATCATAAAAAGACTTATTTGGTGAACATGACTGGGATGAAATCTGTAGAATAATATCAACAGACTTAAAGGTCAGGCTCATATGATGAAATATTGGTGTTGGTCTCCCTTTAGGTAACAATTGTAGACGTATACGTGCACTGTGGACCAACGATTCACTCTTATATTGGCGAGGTCACTATTAGTTTGTATGGTGTCCAAAACATTATGTTTTAGGAAACTGTAAGTTATTCAATTATCAGTTATTCAGCTTTTAATGAAGGGCTGGACCCAGATGACAAATTATACTCAGGAAGTGGAAGAAAATTAGCATATATAAAGCAGAATATGAATATTTTATGCTTTTAAATAAATTAAACTTAGTGTGATGTCCCTTCAGTCTCTCTGACTGGACCATTTCTGTTACTGGGGGAAATATCACAATCTATTATAGGTCCACTCTAACTTTGTCATGGCGGGTCGTTGTTTTGTGTGTGCCGTTGTTTATTCAGTCGTGACTCAGTAAATTAACTAGCTAATGGTCTATGGACATGACGAAGGTCATAAAGGTAAATTCTGTGAACTTTACTCAGCATAGTGGAACAAAAATAGGTTTCAGGATGAATAATGCTGTTCACACTAAATTGCTACCCTACCTATGTTGTGTAACTTATAATAATAATAATATAATAATCAGACAATTTGTGACTTTCTTTAGTCAGCAGGAGTGAAACTGTGTTAGTCTGAACATTTGTTGTGTTAAAGTTTCAGAATGATGAAGACAGTTGGACAATTAGATACTAAATAGGATGTAATCTCTACAGGATCTTTTTCCCCCTAGGAAACTATGTTTTACCCAAATAATGGACAGATTTGGAGTCAATCTATTATCTCTACTGGCTTGAAAAATAGTGCATTTAGCTTGTATAATTGGGAAAAAAATCTCCCTGGGAAGCATCCTCCCAGAACCCCCTAGGTTTGAGCTAACCTCCAAATGTTTACAAGGTCTGGCTCCCCTGCCTGGATGGCCTCCTTTTTAGGATTTGGTGACAGTTAAAATGCTGAATATAAAAGAGCGCCATATTGTAACAGAGCAGAGAACACAACTCCTCGTCAGGTTTGGCTGTATTTTTTCTGGCGTTTAGTGTCGATGTTGGTTTATCTGTGTCTTTTTGTCAACCTATAATCGTAATGTCTAATAGGGCTGCGTATCAAACCACAGTTCTTCACAAGAACTGACCAAATAGACCTTTTTCACAGCAGCCATTTTGACGTGATAAGATCCAACAAGGAGTCCAGGTGCTGCTATGGTGCATGTTGGCTGACTGGAAAGGCCCTGCTACACTAAATGGAACACAACCATAATCATTATCATTGGTAACACCTGTGTTCACCCTACTATTTAATGTCAAAATGGCTGCTGTGAAAAAGGTCTATTGTGCCAATGTGCACTGAAAACGACTGGGTTTATGATGACCATAAAGCACAACGTCTCCAGTTCGTATCCAGCTGTGGGCCTCTGTTGTATCGCTCTCATCCTTCGTTTCCTGCCGTATCTTGTGTATCACTTCATAAAAAAGCTTAAAAAAGCCCCACAAAACCCTTTCAAGATGGCACTGAATGCTTGATCAGACTTTTACTTTATGAATACTTCGGTCATACATTTCCTTCATGTACATCTGTTTGTGTAAACATGTTAAACAGATGTTACGGTTTTCAAAAGTTTGTTTGTATTTTATTACAGGCGACTGGGGCTCAGGAGGTCGAGTGTCCACTAATCAGACGGTCGGTGGTTTGATCTCTGGCTCCTCCTGCTGCATGTGGAAGTGTCCTTAACCAAGATACTGAACCTGATCCTGATGCTCCTGCCATGTGTGTGTGAATGTGGGTAAATGTAACATGTGAAGTAAAGCGCTTTGAGTGTTTGGAAGACTAGAGAGGCGCTACAGAAGTGCAGTCCGTTTACCATTTATATGAACAAAAAGAAAAACATGTTTATAATCAGCAAAGGTATCAAAAAGTATATTTCTGGTATTGACAAGTCCTAGAACTCAGAGGTCTTTCCAAGCAAAACTAAAGTAGTGAGGAACCGATCATATCATATTTTTATTGATGTAGCTCAGACATAAAAAATCCTTGAAAGACAAAAGTCTCATTGTGGATTTAGTAAAATTTTATTTATCTACAATTATTCCTCCATACAGGCATACAGACTGATAGATTCTTTATTCATTTCAATGTGGCTCATAAATTGATAAGTTACACAATATCATACAGAAGCTGGATGCCAGAACTGGACAAAAAGTTGCAAAAATATCTTTTTTTGTCTTTACATCTTTTCTGTCAGTGTTTTGCAGCATATTGTAGAGCGGTTAGGTTGTGTCGTCAGAGTGAAATGGAACAACAGTGAGTGCTGAAATACTGTAACACGTTGAACTCGAAATGATCGGGGTGTGAAGGTAAATTCAGGGAGCAGCACAGTGACATGTTGCAGGTGCATCTGGTGAGAGCAGCAGAGCAGGATGGGAAAAAAAACAGCCTGAAGAGCTCACCAGCATATTTATGATAAAACGAGGATAATATCAAATCTGTTTATAGTTGCTTTTTTTTTTTTTTTGTTGCTACATTTTAAATCCTCTCAGATGACTTGTGTGTCAAAATGAACCTACGCTATATGACAGTACGTTACAATAAACACATGACTGGTAAAAATCCATCACAAACTCGATGGTAAAAATGGCAGAGATGAATGCACTGACATGTTCAAATCTTTTTAGCTGTCTCTGAAAAACCACATCTTGAACACAAAAAAAATGTCCAAATAACTAACATGTACATGTGATGTGAGAAAGGGGGTGAAGACAAATGAAGATAGCATGGCAGCTGGAGAGAGAAACTGCTTCAATATATTAGTCCTATGCTTCAGTTTCTTACATGTGTTCATGTCTTTTCATGCCTGCTGGCAGACAAATTCCCATCTCTCGTCTTTTTTCTTCTTTTAGTGTTTTTTTTTCCCTCTTTCCTCTCTAGTCCTCATCTTCTTCATCCTCGTCGTCGTCTGTTTGGTCCCTTGCGTCGAGGTCGTCTTCATCGTCCACCTGCAAGGAAAGTGTCACATTCTAACTAAAGCAAAACACACAAAACACAGCTGAGTGACCAGAAGATAAAGCAACATCTTTGATCTGAAGGCTTACTATTCACGACCTCTCTGCTAACACGCACTACCACCACAGTTAACTGGTTAAACTGGGAGCTACAAAGACTATAAGCACATTGCATTGCAACGCCTATTTTCACCAACATACAGAGATGTTTTTGTCCTGATAGTCAGGGAAGATGACACAATGAATAAGGGAGTACAGAGGTTGTTTCCTTTATACTATCTCCATTCTGAATCCATCTCCTGATAAACGTTGCATCAACCAATCAGCTGCGGTCCTCTGCAACCTACAGATACATATAACACCGTTCTCTATGTAGTTTTCCAGAGACATACATAGAAGAAGCTTTAGGCGACCTCTGCAATCCTGTAATGACACCAATTCTGGTGCATGATGGTGCCAAAACAGAAAAAAAACATCCATCAAAAGCAGCTGCCGTTGCTAATTCATGACCCCACATTATTTTGATGATGGTGGATGTAGAGTCGAGGGCGACAAGGCAACACGGGCACCACGGGCAAGGTAGCCTCACAGCAACAGCATCACCCTTACTTTTTAGTTTTTAAATCAGTTAAATATTTGTCTCATTTAGTTTTTTTAAATTTAATTTAATCCTCTTTTAATCATTCATTTAGCTTTACAGCTTTATTACAGCGGTTTCATTTATTGTCAAAAATATGTTGATTTATTATTATTATTATTTATTATTTAGTTTAAGTCTTGGCGTTATGGTGCAAATATTCTGTAACAGTTTTCGTTACCAAATTTGTGCGATTTTATTTCCAGACTATCAGCACCAATGGGTCGCCAACTTGGTCTGATTGGTTGTGACTGCTGTCTGCACAATAATGATCACCTGTGGTCCACTTCAACTTCAAATGTTATTACATATTTTTCTACTCGTCATTCAATCAAACTGGCAGTTTGGATGAGTGACATTTAACAGCAGTAAAGCCTTTCAGCCTTTATAAAATGACGGCCAGAGTTTAAACTATTTAGAAAAATAATGTAATACTGATAGTTTGTCTACCGTCTCTCCCAGGTCTTTGAGTCTTAGTTTGAGGCTGTGGATCTTCTGGTCCTGGTCTGCCAGCAGCATCAGCAGGTCGTCCTGCTCCTTCTTGGACTCCTGTACTTCCGTTTGCAGCTTTGCTTTCTCCGTCTGCAGGATTGCCACCGTGCTGGTGGCTGAAGCCAGCTGCTGCTCCAGCTCCGCTCGGCTCTGCGACGAGCTCTTTCCCTCTTCCTGAACCAACAAACGAGAGGGAGAGGGCAGAGAGGGAAAGGGACAATAACAGGCAGAGGGAGATAGATGTTGAATAGAATAATCCATAAATACAAATAATGAATTTCCAAGAGATCAGAGCCAACTGGTGTATAAATATTGGGAGTAAATCAGGGTGAAGTGATGTAATGCTTCAGAGATCAGTCAGACATTTTGTTGAACAATTATTCTACACACCTTGAGTCTCTCTGTCTCAGTCGTCTGTGCTGCGAGTCTGCTCTCTAGTTCTGCCATCTTGGCAGCATCTAATGAGCCATCACTGCCGGGGACTGCAGCCGAGGACTGAGAGAAACCAGTGGAAGGTTCATTAATTCAGCCTCTGTTAGGAATAATGTGATATATCTGGCACAAAATGTCATATTTGCATTTTATTTACCCCAGCTTCAGCTCTTCTCAACAGTTCTTGTCTCTCTGTCTTCATCTGGTTGATTTCTGCCGACTGGGACTGGACCTGACTCCTCAGAGCCTCCAGCTCCTGCAACAACAAACAAAGTCAGCCAACACTTGCAAAAATATACGCAATTTATAAAGTTATTATCTCAAAGTGAGAAAACGCTTTGGATTGACGCTTTAAGGTTAGGTTTAAGGCTAAGTCTCATGGTGGTCTATAGAGACAGAGCGCATTTGAGTTCCGCCCACACCGGAGAGGAAAACAATTCATCGCTCTCCATTGACTTGTATTGCATGAAGGGTCCTCCTTATCATTTTCTGCTAGCAAACAACATAAAAATGCATAAAAGCTGCTGTGTGGTGGGATGCACTACCAATAGGGTAGAGAACCCAACTAAGAACTAAGTTTTTATAAGCTGGAAAAACTCTTGACTCTCAGTGTGTAGGAAGCATTTTGGAAGTAAGGCCCGGTTTAAGTCTTTGTTAAAGTGATGATCTTACCTGATGATTTGATCAAATAGTTGTAAATATTCAAGTATTCAGCAAGGTAAGAGAAGAAGGGACAATGAGGCAGACCGACAATATACCTTTTCCTCTCTGGTAGACATAGGGTGCTAAAATAATCCTCTGACATGCTGAAAACTAATGTTTTTAGTGTCTGTGTCAGCTCATGGTTGCATTTTGTGGTGCTGATTGTCTTGTCTTGTCTTGTTGCGCTTTGTCTCTGTATTTTTGTTACTGTCAGAGACCAACAATGATCCTAATAACAAGTACTGTCTGTGTAGTTAAAGCCTGATATAGACCTCCATTCTTGAAACTGGGGAAAGGGGAAGTGTATAGTGATGAATCCCACCTTGTGCAGTTCTGTGTTGTCTGTTCCTCCAGTTGAAACTTCGGCTGTCTGTGACGCCTCAGACCTCTACATTAAAAACATATTAGTGATTAGTGATCCACTGTGACAGAATAAAAGTAAAACTGAACACACAACTGTAAGATTAAATTCAGAATAAGTCTGCGCCTAACAACAATTTAGACATTCAGTTTGCAATAATAAAGAACAAAGAAAGGCAGCAAATAATCACATTGAAGAAGCCGAAACTATTCTTAAAAATTAACTTGAACAATAAATCCATCATCAAATTAGTTGCATATTTATTTTCTCTCCCTGACTTACAAACACAAAGACGTCTACCCTCCAGGGAAGTGTTTCTCAAAGGCACCATTGCTCAAATATGATCTGAAGTTCTGTTGTAAGAATTTGTTTGTTGTTTCAAGTAGTTTTGGTTTGACTGAAAACTGTAGTTGGCAACAATTACTGTGATGTTTTCTGGTGGTTACCACAACTGTGAAGGTGTGGTTTAAAGTTGAGTTCAGTCATTTATTATTCAAAGTCTACCTGTTGTTTGTATGTCATGTATGGGTCTGACCAGAGAAAACGTAACACAGTTTTTGTAATGATGTCAATTGTTTTTCAAGAAACAGTGATGACTTGGACGGCAATCTGTCTGCCAATCAATCATATTCTGGTGGTTGAACCGTGACCACCGTTGCTGTTTGAGAAACGCTTCACAGGGTGTCACTGAGCTATGTGTGGAGGAGTGTGTGTTGCCTGCACAGCTCCTTCGCCTAAAGCTTAGACAAACAAACACACAGACGTGGTGATAAATTCTGTGCCCCTGACAACAGCACAACTTTGAAACTACATTTTCCTTCGTTGTTCGCTGTTATTTAATGGAAATCATCCCAGAGTACAACGCCCCAGCACACAAACACACACATAGACTCGGTACACAGACATTCACTAACCAGGGTGTTGATGAGTGCGTCTTTGTCACCGAGTTGTGTCTGAAGGAGTGCGTGCTGCCTGCGGAGCTCCTCCAGCTCCTCTCTGAGCTGTGTGATCTCCTCCGTCTGCAGCCCGTTCATCTGTGAGCCGTCTCCCTGGCTGTTAGACTGACTCTGGTTCTCCTTACCTGAAGATATCACCACAAACTCAAGTTAAAATGTCAGATTCAACAGGAAATGAATGTTGATGTTATACACATATACACAATCAGTTACTGTAAACAATACAGCTGATTTGATTTTTTAGGAAGTAGAAATATCTTGGCTGATTATTAGTGAGGCTCCAGTACAGTAAGCCATATTAAGGCAATAGTTTAGTTTCAATTTTACATACAAAGTTCATAGCCATCATTATATGCAGATATGATAACATTTTAGTCACTATCTAAATTCCTTAGATAAGAAGTTGTATACACGCAGCATTACTGCAAAGAAACAAGTAAGCAACATCAGTTTAACTAGTCCAGTCTGACCAGTTTAACTACATTTGCTCTCTTCATGAAGTTAGATGAGCAGATCGATACCACTCTCATGTCTGTGCATTAAGTACGGCACTAGAGTTGAGACGTTGTTAGCTTAGCTTAGCATAAATACTGGAAGCAGGTGAAAATGGGCAGCCTGGCTCTGTCCGAAGTTCAAGTCCATAAACAAACATATGAAATTCTCACATAACCCAACTAAAACTGCAAACTGTATAGAAATATGTGTATTTCCCCAAAATGTTGATCTGCTCCTTTACACTCTCTCTTCTCATATATATTGTTGTCCTGTGCACACTGCTGTAAAACTGTATCTTGCGATGTCGCTGCATATAACTGCCACCCCGTATCTCAGTAATAAAGTAGTAAAACTTTATCATCAACAGGGATGGTGGCCAGAAATATGTAAACAAGACATAGGACACAGAAAATTAATTAAAATGTGCACATTGTTAACGCACACTGCTCCCACCATTTCTATTTCTGATTGTATTTTTCAATTAACAAACCAGACACACAGTACTTCCTGTGATAAATTATAGCCCTGTTCTTTTTCAAGGGCAAAAAACACCTGCTACCAGTTAACCAATGAGGTGAACCCACCTAATTTTAGCTTGAGGATGTTGTACTGATCTTTGTGCTGCTGGATCTGGGACAGCTGCTGGGTGACCGTAGTCTGCATCTGTTCGTTCTGAGATGACATGGACGCTACCTGCTCTTTAAGCTCCTGGATCTGAGCATCCTGAGGATCACACAATCAAAAAAAAATCTTAACAGTAGAGAACATCAAATATAAATAAACACAAAACTTAACTACGTGCAGAATTGAAAATGACACTGCCACTTAGCTCTGATTACCTGTTCTCTGATCAGCTCTTTATACTGAGTTACAATGTTGTCATGTTGCTCTAATGTCTTCTTCACCTCCTCTTCCTTCTTCTCCTCCTCACTGGATTTGTGAACTGCTTTGGTGATCATACCTGTTTAGAGTAGCGGGAGAGATAATTCGTAAAACTATGCCACAATAAATACATTTTCGTTGGATATGAAGAATTGTCTCTTGACTGACCTTCGAGTTCTTTGACCAGCTTGGTGAACTCATGGTCGAAAAGCATCTGCTCTGGAGACGGGAAGACCGGCTGCGGTTTCTGGGCTGCCCGCGAGTACAGCTCGTGTTTGGTGATGAAGCCCAGTTTCTCGACAAAGTTTTCCTTTCCAATCCGCTTCTCGATGAGCTGCTTTAGCTTCTCTCTGAGGAGGACAGAGATGACGCAGCAGGTCTTAAACAGAGCTTAACAGTATGTGGTAGACAGACAGACAGTGGAAAGTTGGAGAGTTGATGACGGCTGCACTCGTTGCGTTGCTGTGCATGAAAGCTTCTGAAAAATACTTAATCGACCCCAATAACAATCATCCCTAATATTTTGACTGATAAGTTATTTTCAAGGTGTGTGAGCTGACGCTTACTTGGTGTAGTTTTCCAGTGAGTTGTCGTTGTAATAGATGCAGATGCCGAGAAGCAGCGCACACAGGCCCTGCACCAGCCTTTCATCCTCTCCCAAATTCTCTGAGATCTGTGCCGTCAACTGCAGGAGTCACCCAGTCAAGGATTCATTCAACACCAGTGAGTCACAGAAACCTACATCCAAGTTATAACTTAAATGAAAATACAAGGTCCATCAAAAGGAGTGAGGTAATAGTTTGTTAACAAAACTATAACTAGACACATTTATTGTAATGAAACAGGCGTACTGCTTTCAAGCTGCTTCAAGGATACAAAGGGAACATTTTCCTGATTGTGTAGAAAGTGTGTGACAGCTATCGGACAGTTGCTGATCCATGTACACAGCAGCATGAGGAGGCCCACCCTGGTCTGCACTTTACTGCCCTGTGGAGCACAAGAACAAAACATAAGAAATGTCAACACATGCTTCTTGAATGGCAGTCAAAGTTTCTGTCAAGAATCCAATGTAGACAAATATGTAATATTCTAGAGATATAAAACATTTAGAGTTTAGACAAGGAAGAAAATGTTGAATATGGGGGGTGATCAAAACCTGAATGGCAACAGATGTTACAATTAATTAAAATTTGAACCCTGTCATAGATTCATAGATTAGGTCCAGATTGGGTTAAAATTTGCATTTGCTGAATGTGACACAACATAATATAGAAATCCAACAAAATTATTACCAATGTATTAAATTCAAACAGGAAAAAAGAAAGTATAAATGGGGCTGATAAAATGGCAACAAAAGTGCTTGAATATGAGTTGTTGTTAAAGCATTAATTTTGTTGGTCCAAGCTGACGTGTTGGGAGTAAAACACTGCATTTAATTTCACAATCAACAAAAATATGGAAAAGGTTAATTAAATCCATCAGTACTTCAATCACATCCACCATTAGTAGTTAATAAGGTTATAATAAAACAAAAGACTAGGACACAGTTAAAATTAATACATTCAGTATATTCAAACAAGGTTGTGTTGACCAGGACATGCTGCATTAACCTGTATGAATAAATCAACGTCCTTTAAAGCACAAAAGTACCTCCAGCTATCAGGTGTTCCACAAGTTCACAATTTTCAATTAGTCTTTGGTTTGCAATTTTCATTCAGCGAGTGATTGATGACTTGCAATCCAAGTATCATAAAATTGTAATTTCACTATATTTCCAGCTTTCAGCACATGCAAAGCAAAACCCACTAAATGTGTTTTTTAAGGATGAAAAATGAACTGTAATAACAAAAAGATGATATAAAAATGATCATGCATTTCCATGAAAACAGCTTTGAGAAGCAGGTAAGAGATTTAAGTCTGCTTCCAATGGACACATTAATAGGAAACTTCCAGTAAGCAATTATGCTGTATTGAATAACTAATCTCAATCAGCTGTAGAAAAATAAAGGATAATTTTAATGGAGTTGGAATGTAAGATGATGAAAATCAAGACAGATTAAAACAGTGCAGAGGTGAATAGAAACTGTAAACTCTGTAGCTTAAGGCTGCTAATACACTGGTGCATTAACACTTAAAGCACATCATGCTTTAAGGAGAGCTTACTTCTTTCCTCCAGCGACATAAAAGATGCCAAAATTGAGTAAGTATGGAGATCTGAGCATGAAGGTGTGGGTAAAAACTTATCAGCATTCCATACTACAAAAACTTACGAAATCACCTTTTCAGATTTAGTCTCCAAATGTGACGTAATGCAAAAATGAAGAGGAAAACAAAAGACAGGAAAATGACCACCAAGTATTAATTGAACAGACCTCTGCAAAAAAACACACACACACTGTGCTTCTGTATATGTTTGTGTGTGCAGCCTAACAGTTAAATACAAAACTCCATCAAGTCACAGTCAGGAGGATATCAGAGCCAGGGGTTGGGCTTGGAGCAATAAGAATGTATTACACTGGTCCAATTGGTCTCCTCCCAGTTGGATGAGTCTGGAATACCTCCGCAGGCTGGCGTCCAGAAGCCGACCTGTTCAGATGTCTGAACCACCTCCGCAGCCTCCGTTCAACATAAAGGAGCAACACGTATTCAGTCCTACTTCTGTCCGAGCTCCTCGTCCTGTCTCTAAAAAGTCCAAACACTCAATATGTGAAACCAATTTCTGTTGCTTGGATCTGCAATCTCATCCATTCCTCTCATTAGTCCAAGTTAAGGACTACAGATGCAGACTAGCATGAAGATATACAGGAAAATCACGAGCTTTGCCTTCAGAGTCAGCTCCTTTTTTACTGCAACAGTCAAGTAAAAATCTGATGCCACAATTGACCGATCAATCTCTCGCTACATTTTAACTAATCTCTAATAAACAAGACCCTGATATTCTTCAAATTCTCTCACTTGGAGCAGCAACTTGCTCCCAACCCAAAAGGAGAAACCATGTACCAAGGCCTTAGAGTGCAGACTATTATCCCAGTCTACAATAACTGGAGCACACCATTGTTTTAGAAATGGGAGCCAGAGGTGAAGTACTCCTCCGACACAGACGTTTTCAACATGGTGGCTTACTTCCTCATTCTTTGCTGCTATATCAGACACCAATGACTTCTGGCCAAAACTCTGAGCACTCACATTTCTTGTCCTTGTAGTACCATGAAAAACAGTGGTGACAGTTGAAGACCACAAAGATATATTAAGCGGATATTCACAGTTTAACTTCACTGCACAAGAGTTGACCAGGTTTGACCAGCTGCTTCCCCCAACCTACTCAACTCACCATGAGGTATATCTGAGTGTCCAAACATATTGCTGCAGATCTTAAAAACTATAAAGTTAATTATCACCAATCACAAACCCTATCCTGGAGGATGGTGCTCTGCAGACTAGTTGGTACTGCAGGACCTCTTGCACTTACTCCCCACCACAAAGTGAAATTTCCTTTAAGAGCCCATTTTTGTCACCAGACCTCCTTAAGCAGACCTCCACTTCTGCTTACTTGATCAAGTAACGTGGGTGCCCAGCTTCCCTGATCCAGACTTGGTCAGCTCAACTGAGACCAAGCTAGTTGAAAGCAAGGAGTTTGTCAACTGATACCAAGTAGTTCCACCAGGAAGATGCAGAGAAGTTCATACATTTTAGCAGACTGCCATAGCCAGACCCTCATTGTGGACAATAGGACAAAAGAAGAAGAACTGGCAACTCCAGGGAAAAAGAGTAATAGCAAACTGATTAACTCCCAGGGAAATTAAGAGGGTTGGTTAAGTTTGGCTGAATAATTATAACCTTTTTCACCTTATCTCAACACTAAAACTAAAACTCATAAACCTATTTTAGAACCATCTGAATCCACAGTGAGAATTAATTGATCCTCATTAAAAATAAACTATAAAATCTTCTTGCACCTGCACTGTTTATTTGTAAGCAGGTACGGTATGTAAATGTAAAGAGAACAAGAAAAACAAGAGTGGAGATCTCACTCAGACAGGAAAAGGCCCAAAAGCTGCTGTAGCACACACTTCCTGAACAGACAGATAAGGACTTGCAGCACAGCAAACGGTCCAAAGTCACAACTCCAAGTAGATGTTAGAATAATCTGAGATAAAACCACTGAAAAACAGCTGCTGTGTCCCTTTTCTCTGAACCTCTCTCAGATGGACAGTTCCCCCACACTTCACTGGTGAATACAGTGAGAGTAACTAGTGCAGGGGTGTCAAACATCCACATGGGCCCACTGGATGACTTGGCAAAGAGAGAACATTGAAGATAAATCATTAATTCCAGTTTTAATAAAATGCACTGCTACTCTTGATTTGTCTACTGTTGTTCAGTTCCAAAATACATAACACTAAACTAAACGTTTTGTGTAGATCCTCAGTGATCTGTAAATTGTATTGACAGCAGACTGACTGGAAAAACTGAGACATATTGTTGAAGTTGCACTTATACTTGTACTTATAATATCTCAAGCTGTTCATCAAGCGTGCCACACGCTTTAGCTATTAGTTAGGGACAAAGAAGGGGTAGTAAAGAGTTAAAGGGAAGCAAGATCCCCCAACAATGTGGGCCAAAAAGACCCCTACTACAGATGCCAAGCCAAAATAACCAGCATAGGTGCCGCCCAAACACTCAAAACACACACAGACAAAGTACACACGCACTTTACTTACCCGCCGGATGATCTTATCTCCCTGTAAAACCACAATAATGTGACATTTTTCTATTCACTGTTGTCAGCACATCAACATTAACCTCTATTTATTTGCCAAAAATATGTCTCTGTTCTTAAAGTCCTTTCTACCCCGACACACTAACCCATTGGCATCTTCATTCCAGCAGTTAAATGGCACTGTTGGTGTCCTACCTGGGAGAGGATGTTAGTGCACTGCTGCAGCAGGGAGACAGGGGGCTTTCCCAGGCTGGTGGCCAGTTGAACCCTCAGCAGCTGCTCCTTCTGGGTGAGGTTGTCCTGCAGGGAATGAGCCAAGGCGACAGCGGCACACCAGTTGGACAGAGAGTCTGCTGAGAACAGGCCTCCGCACAGCAGCTGGCCCGCTGAGATGGAATTTGCTGGGGGGGGGGTGAGCAAGTGAATAAATAAATATTTATAATTGAAGCTGAAAGGATCAAGAAGAATAAACAGTCTACCCATCCAAATTGAGCCACTAATAATTTGGGTCAAGTATACTGTGACTGTGTGACTGGTTTAATTTATTAAGCTAAAATACCATGTATATGTAATATGTTTACACCAATAAACATAATTTAAAAAAAACAATACTGATGGATTCCCTGGATGTGTCAGTGTCATGACATTTATGGCATTTTTAAAAAGATCAGTATCAGCTATATTGAGATATATTAAAGTCCAATCCGATCCTTACAGGCCGTTCAGGTCACTCAGACAAAGGCTGCACAGAAGCAACCAAAACTGCAGGACACTTTTAAAGTGAGAAATTCCCTCCGGCGACAGCGACAAGACCAAAAAACATTATGGGGGTGTGTGTGTTAGGATATTTTATAGCCTACTTTTTATTTTGTAAAATATAAAAAGAACTGCTTGGATACAGGCATTTTTTTCCTTAATGACTTGATTGGGACATTCCTAATTTTTAGCCATCATCTATAATTAATATATTAGTTATAATTGTGGTAAAGCAGAGGTGTCAATATTCTACAAGGGGAACTTCCACTTAAAAAATGACCCATGTTTTGCACTGAGGTAGGATTATCTTTAGTGCTAATGAAACTTTACTGTTGCTGTGAAAAGGTTCTATATAGAAGTTGATAAAACAGACTCCTATAAAAACACTCCATCAACCTAATGGTCTACAAACTCTTGAAAATTATAGTAAAACAACTGATAATACCACTTCTAAGTTTTCAACTTGTTGTAACTGACCATCAATGGTGGAGGGCAGCAGCGTAGCCACAATCTCTCCCTGGCCTTTCTGGTTTTTGTAGAGGAAACACTGGAAACAGTAGAGGACTGCACAGCGAAGCACAAATGGTTGTCTCTCATTGACCATGGACATGAGCAGCACTACGATAGCTGGTCTATGGACAGATGACGAAGAGAGATCAGACAGAAAGTCAGTACAGAATTTACTATCAGATGGATTTGAGAGATCTTGGCTCATTGGTCGTGTCCTACCTTGGTGGGTTTGAAGGAGCGTTGACCGATGCAAAGTAGTCCTGGTTGACCTGTGAGCCTCTGATAACCTCCGATACAGTGTTGATGGTCTGAAAGAAAGTAGCAAGATCAAAAAGTGCAGTAAGTTCCAAAAGAGCCAAACCTTTTGAGTAACCAAAGACCTGTTTGGGTAGTACTGCTGTCATTACCTCAGTGAGGATGTCAGCAGGCACACCAGTGGCCATGAGGATGGTACACAACTGCTGCAGCAGGCCACACTGGTACATGGACTTCTGACAGCTGGCTGTAGCTCCAGGAGAGTTCACTGGAGACACCATGACTCGCACCAACTGCGGACAGAACAGTGTGCAAGATTTTAGCAAAACAATATCCCATTGTGCTGCCTTTTTAATTTGTAATTAAAGCAACAGTTCAACATGACTGCTCTGTATTACCTGCAGCATGAGATGGAGATTGGTGACCTTCTGTGCAGACCAGCCAGAGTTATCATCCCCAACCTCAAACCAGGGCTTCATTCTCTGAATGTAGGAGCCCTCCTTGAAGAAGTTCTGATTGGAGCTGTTGTTCTTCAGCAGGTTGAGCAGCAGCAGCAAACAGTCCTCCACCACAATACCTGCATCCAGGGAAAAGGATGTATGTCAGGACATTATATCATAAGAAAAACGATCATTTGGAATTGGATTGTATTTAAATTTCTACAGTCAATTTCAAGATCCTCGTACCTCCATCACTGCTGCCCTCTTCTGTGATGATATCTAGAAGACGCTCAAATGCGTTTTCAAATGCCACAATTTTCTGAATGGCTGCATTGCTTTTGGTCAGCTGTTGAAGCAGCAGCAAGCCCTGGAAGTGAAAAACAGGTCATCATTCATGTCCTGAAAATTTGATTGTCGCAGAATTATATGTATTGTCATGATAAAAAGACCTGTATTAAACACATAGTGGCCATTCAGACCAAAATCAGCCCAGTGTTAAAACAATGCAGGGGGCTGCGTTGGTGGGGGTGGCGGAGGGGTTGTGTTTAAGGTACCGGTGAGACGGGATATACAATCCAGGAAGTCTAGTTTGAGCAGAGGTGGGAAGTACAAATACTTTGTCAGTGTACTTAAGTAGGTTTTTGGGTATGTGTACTTTATTTTAAGTATTTGAGTATTTATTTGGCCACTCTTTTTACGTTTTCCATTTTTACACAAATATCTGTACTTTCTACTCGTTACATTTTCAAAACAGGCTTGTTACTTTATTTATTAAATAGATTAAAAAAAAACATTAATAATTTTATTTTGCATCATTGCATGCTCTCCCAACATTGTGACCAGTGCATATTACGCATGACAGACACATCAAGAAACGTAAAAGATGAAAGAGACAAGACAGGGAGACTATTTGAAGTTTAAGTTAGCTTTGTACAGAAACAGCTGGTAGAAATGTTTTCAGAAAAACCAAGAGAGTTTGAGCAGCCTGTACTTTTATACTTTAACTTGAGTTCTTAAGGTATACCTTTTGTATACTTTGTGTGTACTTTCACCACCTTTGCCTTCACGTAACGGATCACAGCTGTTTATAACACTCTTGACACAAGAATTTACAACTCTGGCAAGTTGCAAGGGCTGCAATTATTTTATCTTCCATTGCAACCATCATCAGGTAAACAGCAGAAATATGGCGTTCATGTTACAAAGTAATCCACCTGGAATAAGTGCTTGCATGTATGTCACTGGCCAACACAGCACCTTGACAGATGACATTATGTAGCGTTGCAATTTGAGGCAGGTACAACCCTGCGTTTTTCTGTGGAACTGGCCTCATTCAAATGAATGACAGTGCTGCATTTTATCACACAGAGATAAAGTCGGTCTGAACGCAACCTTAGTTTCACTGCAGGTCTATTACACAATGGCAGATTAAACAGCAGAGACAAGTACTCACATCATTGCGAATTACTTCTCTAGAGTCTGCCAACAGGTCCATCAATCTGGAAACACCTGTGGATGGACACAAACATTTTGCTCTCAAGAAAATACTGACATACTGAATTATCTTTTTGTGCGAATTGTCAACTTTTTGAGAGCTAACAGATGCCTTCAGTAAAGGATCACAGCAATGTTGAAGTAAGACTGAAGGTGTAGGTCCAGATCATGACATTAAAAAAAAAAACACAACAATCAGATGTGGAAAGGGGATACTCACCCATTGGGCTGACCAGAATGATACCCTGGACCTGGACACACTGGTTCTTGAGGAGAGCAGTCAACAGCTTCACCGCAGGCCAACGTACATGGAAGTCAAACTCCTAAAAACCACAGCAATGCATAAATACGCCACGCAGTTGTTCAGACAAATATAATAACAGATCTCTTGCACACAGGAGCAGACACAGTTCAGTACCTCCAGCAGAGTGAGAAGCAGGGTCACATGTTCAGGGTCCTGAATGAACGTATCTGTGAACTGGGCACCCAGGTCATCTGCCTGCTTCTGGGCATTCTCATCTGTGAAGGAGATTAAAAGCTGAAATGAGTAACATCTCCAGCGATAAAGGAGGAGTCATCAGTATAGTAAGGGAACCAGTCGGTTTGTTCATAGCATTCAGCCTGAGTTAGACAGCAATACTTATTAAATCTGCAACTTCTCATAACTTTTCAGAGTGTTTATAACTGATGATCTTCTGTTATTGAATAATGACCTTACAAAGAATATGTGAATCCATTTTAGAAATGAGAAAATGCTCAGGGTGATAGTTGTGAACATGCCCTCTGGACAAAATAAACGGGGACACACAGATGGATGGGACAGTTGGATGGGAGAGGGGAACAGGGTAAGCTCAGTGGGGTTACTGTAAAAAGGGATTCTACTGTGTATACATAGGTAGAGACGTTTAATATGGGATGAGCGGAGAGCTTTAGTGTGACAAGCTGGTTAGCAACACCACTGAGTGTGTACCCACCTATTAGTCTAGCCATAACTTAAAAAGGTACCCAAACTGTATCTAGAAATGCAGATAGTTTTAGATATATTTACCTATGTTTTGTTATATCCATCTCTAAGGCTGCGTTCACACTGCAAGCCTTAATGCTCAATGCTCATTTATTGCTCAGATTTCTTTTTGGCTGGTCACATTATTTATTAAATGTGGCCCATATCAGACTCCGGTGTGAACAGGTCACGGTCTTAAAGAGACCAGCATAGATTAACACAAAAAATCAGACCTGTATCAGACAGGGACCACATGTGAAAGTGGCCCAAATCAGAATTGAAAAGATCTGATTCTATGTAATTTGTGCTGTTCACACTAAGTCACATAAGCAAAACAATGTGATTCAGGCCACTCTTGCCTGCAGTATGAACACAGCCTAAGATTGCTGCATCTTCCCCAAAACAATGAAGACTTTGGTTGTAGCACAATTACATTAAAAGGTTTAATAATCAATATCTTTATATTAACAGTAGACAGAATTACCACGCAACTCTACAGAACGTTTTAGATTCTTTTAGCTCATTGTTTTGGTTTTCCAGCCTGCATATTTACAGTTGTGGTTCACTCTCACTGCCCTCATCAGCATTGTTTCTAGTCAGAAAGACTAGAAAACACTCCAATAAAACCACTATACTCTACATGCCGAGCACCAAATAGCAGACAGAAAAAGATAGCGACTAGCTGGTCGGTGGTGAACATAGTGGAACATGTTAAAGCTAAAGAGGAAGATATTTCCCTCAAGAGTCGGTTGAGACCAAAAACAGAGCTAAATAGGAATGACTTGCCGGGTGGCCAGAAACACAAATCAAAATGTATGCAAATGTTGTGTCTGATGTGTAAATAAGCAACTACTTGCTGACATGTTTGCCATAGCAAATTTATAAGGAGACCAAAATAAAATAAATTAATGTAGGTTGTCTTTTAAGAAACTGTGTCCCTATCAAAACCCATAGATATCAGAACGCGAGCTACCACTGGAGGAATGTTAGGAAATATGATGAACTGAAATACACTTCAGAAGAAAACAAAAATACATTTTCACCACAACACTGCAAAAACAACCAGGTATTAAAATGTGAGAGAAACAAAGGAGCAATGAGAAATTACATACTAACAGACAGATACTCAAAGATGTGACGGTATTAGTGAAGCATTCTTGTTACCACCCAAACACCGTCTAGTCACTCTTCCAACTGAAGTTAGTTATCTAGCAGTACTATAAACTACTGCAGGGAGCGCTTGGTTTCTGTACTGACCAGGCATGGAAACGTTCTTATGCTTCCCTGCGACAGGGATAGGGGTTACTGCGTCTGCGAGAGCTGAGGGGGAAGAGTAAGTTTAAAGCCTCACCCAAAAGCTAGCATTCACTCTGAGGAAGTGTGGAATCAGCCGACTGATTCTTGTGAAGACATGCCACAACAACAACAACCAAAAGACAGCCTTGAATTTTATCAGAGGTGTACAATCTGTGCACTGCATGAGGTGTAAACATGACTATTAATGTGCTCTTTTTTTCCACAACCCAAACAAGAGGAACCTATGATTTGTAAGTGCTGCTGGTGGTTAGGGAGGTGGCATCATGCACAGACAAAGAGTTTTACCTTCTGATTCATCTGTAGGGTTAAAACATGGAAGAGAAGAGAGACGAGAATCTTTACATAAAGCAGTCATTATCCATGTACAGAAAAGGGGAATGCAAATTGAATTGAAGTCCAGTTTTATGAATTGAATTTACACATGCAAACAAAACAATGGCTCAGTAAACACTGTTAACAGTAGCCACACAATTAGAGGGAATTATCTTCAAATGATAACAAATTCAAGGTAAATTTCATTATTTCTAATAATTGTAGGACGGTTGAATACCTTGCTCTTCCTCCTCATCGTTGCAGATTAGGTTGTACAGCGTGTCCAAAGCATAGCCAAGGATTTCAGAGTCAGACCTGTTAAATTAGCAGGAAGGAGCACAGTGTTAACGAAACACAGATTTCATTGTTAAAAGAACTTAAAAGGTAACTTATTTTCCTAAGTTTCTGTGTCAAAGTGACTAATGGGGACAACAACTTTTTATTGAGTGAGAGTGCTGCAGCTTGGAGCAACTAAATGGGCCAATATACACCCTTGCGGGCAAAGGCGCCCAGTCAGAATACATCCATTAAAAGTGCTTGTTTTTGCCTCTGACTGGCTCTGATTGTTATTGTAAGGGTCTAAAATTAAACATTTTCTGTTCCTTTCGCTTGATCTGCTGTATCGATCTACGAGATGTCTCATTCTGAAATCTCACCCGTGAGGAGACTTGTTGTAGTCAACAGTGGAAATGTGAGGAGAGAACAGTGCCGGCTGGGAAGATTTTGTCGTGTTGGACTAAAGAAATCGCAGCTTAGTGTTATGTAAAAGCTTTTTAATGTCATGGTTGAATATTAAGCCGATTGCGACAATGAGGGTGGCGCATCTGTTCATTTGAGCGGAGTTTAGGGACTATACAGATGAAGAACTCTTGCTGCAAAGCACTTTTAACAGCACCAAATTTAAAATGTGTTGCCCGCATTAGTTACTTGGAAACAAAAACGTGGGAAAATAATGACAGTTGACAGTTACCAGACCAAACTAAAACATAAATACTAGATCAACGTACCTATCAGTTTGCAGTATGTTAATCAAGTGATCCATCGCCTGTGTGCCAACTTCCATGCGATATTTCTGCAAAAGACAATAAAGAAGGCAAGGCAAGTTTAATTATATAGCACCAACAAGGTAATTCAAAGTGTTTCATATACATAACAGACATAAATAGGAAAAAATAAATCAAAATAAGCTATAATTGATCAAACATTGGTGCACAAACATCTTTCTCCACTCAGCATATCAGAAATGTTTTTGGCCCTCAGAAGCAGTAGTGTTTCAAAAATACTCGATCAAGATCAATGATCCACTGTCAACAGACATTTTTAAAAAATAAAGAGATTTCAATCAACATGGACAAAGAAAAATAACCATGAACTTTGTATTGCATTTCTTATAAAATACAGGGAAGTCTACACAACCATGTCTGTGTTTTTGACCAGAGTTGACACCACTGTGTATTAATGTGCAACCCTGTGCCTCCTAAATCCCTTATTCATGCCTGATCAACTCATTACTCATGGTTGATGAGGCAGCCAGTAGCATAAATGTCCATGAATAGAAATGAGAAGTGGCTTTCTAGTGGTCTATGTCAGTGATCAGTTCATTTTTAATCAGCACAGTTTAACAAGTAAGATAATAAGAGTAGAAAACATTCATGAATGTCCTTGTTCATGCACATGACATTTATACAGGAGAACAGGGATTTAATTTCCCTGCTACTTTGTTAACACCTACTCCTGTAAATTAAAAAAGGTTAATATACTAAACACCTACTGAATTAAAAGAAAAAGAGAAAAAAAAAAGCATCACTAATGTTGATTAACGCAAATTTCTACCCACAAATCATACAAACACTACGCTACCAGTATATTAGGCCTACCTAGACAAGAATAATACAGCCGTGTAATAAAAAAACAACCTCTAAAAACTTTATAATGTCTGCTTTTTATACTGAGAAGTTTTTCTCCTACACTATCCCCCACATTTACATCAATACAGTTAAATCAACACGGTATTCTGTTCTTAGGGCTTTATAACAACTGTCATAGGGACTATAGATGATAAATTGCCTCTTGTGCATTTACAGCAATGTCTATTCATCTGCACTGCCGCTAAACCAACAAATAAATAAACACCTCTAGAAAACAATTTCATCGAAACCATCATGAAGGTATGATTTATTGCAGTTGCATTAGACTGCATCAGTTATAGCTTGGTGCCCAACAGCTGGGTGTATTTCTAGTGCAGTAGTTTCCATATATACACTTTACCTTAGAGAGGGACTTAAGAGCACGGACAGCATCTCTGCGGTCTTCTAGGAGCGTTGAGGAAGCTACCCGGTCACACAACTTCTGGATCTGTCAATAGAGGAGTTATTATATATTTTGCTTGTACCTGTGTTTCATATACAGCTGAGAATATTTTCATATGTCTTGATAGGGGGAGATCAATGCACTTGATGTTGTCTCATATTTCAGAGGCAAGGAGTACAATCATTAGATGATTGAAAAACATTTGTCACACAAAGTTATGCATATTGTTTTATACATTTTTCTTATTCAGGATTTTCTTTGCCATTTCATTTTTTCCACCTTCTTGCATGTGCATTACAGTTTGTTTACCTATCTTTATTCAGCTTTGTTGTCATTGTTCTTGGCTTCATGTCTATTTCTATGCATCTTCCTATAACTTAAATGAGTTAAATTCATGGTATGTACACATACCTCGCCCATAAAGCTGATCTGGATTAATTTTATTCAAATAAAACAAATGGTATTCATGCAACCGGTAACATATGCCTCAATTTGAGGTGGAAAAAGGGTTGGAAAACACAGAACTACACCATTTTCTCAAGAAAAGGGCAAGAAACTACTGTTGCGATGGACACTATACTGTTGAATGAGACAAGACTCTATTAATAATACACTACATTGGCTGTAAATATGATTTACTCACACAAAAAAGTGTGTACTGTTTCGTTACTCTTTAAATAATAGTAGTGGGAGAGACAGCACTAAAAAAAATGTGCAGTTTCTTGATAAACGTATTGTGCATTATGCTGGAGAGACAGGCTGCATCGCTGAACAGCTAAAACAGGAATGTCTACAAACAAAGATCTGACTATGTGCCTATAACACCCCTGTAGTGGCAGCAGGAGCGACTTACAAACAGAACAGAGTTACATACAATAAGGTGCATGTAACTCATATGCTGCTGTACATTAAGATGTTGTTTGTTTCATACTAGGATTATATCCTCTGAGGACTTTTGTGTTTTAACATAAGCAACTTGAAGATGTCATTTTGGACTGAAGTGGTGATGAAAAATGTTCACTATTTTCTGACATTTTAGGGACAAACTGTAGCATAATTAACTGAAATAAAACAACCAGCTGAGTAGTTGATAGTGGAAGTAATCGTTACTTGCAGACCTTACGTTACATGACATGTGCATAACAAGAAGACTATGACGTTAGCTTTATTGTCTTGGATCCGGGATGTGAATAAATTCAGCTTCTGTATTTTTTGGAGGTTAATTAAAAAATAAATACATTGTAGGAAGATGCTGACTGAGCGACTGACAACTAATATTCCCGACTGTGTCTGTCCTGTCATTCATTTCCCCATTCATCACAGCTACACGGAGGGACAACAGCAGATATGTCAGACTGACAGATATGCTACGTTAGCTAATTAGCCTTCTGACTAGCTCGTTGTTCTAATTTACGAGGCCCAAGTCTCTTTAACACATGACTATGAGTGTTTTTTAAAGAAATAATAAATAACAACATATCATAACAACAACGGGTGCCGTGTGTCTGTGTGTACGTGGTCTCAGTTTGTCCGGTACACGGTGGTGAAAATCTAAGTTAGCTGCAGCTAGCCGGGCTGGTTTCCTACCGTCTCCGCTCCGGACGGCTGCGGCCCGACCGCCTGCCCACCCATCACTCCTCGGAAGAAGTTCATCTTTACAGACGTCCTCTCGGTGCCGTTTTCAAAGCGTCTCTCCTTCTGAAAAACCCCCCAGACGCCCCTCTCAGATGTCTGTGTAGTAACAATATGAACGGGAGAAAGGAAGAAGGTACCAAAGGATGATTTTTACACCAACTGACCGACCCCGGAACACAAACGTGAGGGCATTGCGCATGCGCGCAGACGTGGCGATACGTGGCTGATCAGCAGACGAGTGGGTTCAGATATTTAAAGGGCAAGAAAAACATTCATTGCACCAGTTGTTCCCAACTTTTATCCTTAAGGGACAACTTTTCTATCATTTATAAACTGACTGACTAAATGACATCTTTTAGGGATATTTAATATTGTACTAAAAACTGTATAATTAACCAGACATCAGTATCGCCACTGTGCAACTATTGTTTGTGTTTATGTGTTTTTATCTGTGTTTATGTGATTGTAACTGTGATTATGTGCTTTCTGTTTGTGCTGATGTGCTTTTGTATGTTTTCTTTTAATATGTCTGATTATCAACCTGCCAGGGACTGCAGACGAATGTGTGAGTGTGCATTGTCCTTTTTAAAGGTCCGGTGTGTAAGATTTAGTGGCAGTGTAGTTACAGGTCGCTTCACCCTCCACTTCCAAATGTAAAGGAGAAACAATGATGGACAACAAAATGCAGAAAAAAAATGATGCACCTATCTAGAGCCAGTGTGCGTTTTTTCCCCTTCTGGGCTACTGTAGAAACATGGCAGTTCAACATGGCGGATTCTGTAGAAGAGGACCTGCTCCCTCTGTAGATTAAAACAGCTCATTATTAGGTAACAAAAACACAATTATTCTTATATTCAGGTGATTATAAACTAATGAAAACATACCAGTGAGTATCATATTTAATTTCTGAAAATAGATCCTCCTAAATGTAACACACTGCACATTTAAATAACTAAACTTCAAACTTCAAACCCAAATAGTGAACACAAGACGTTTGTGTAAATCGAGTGAAATGGATGAATTCTGAGCGGATTATTTCCTGTTTAGGGAACTTTTTATACAATTCTCTGTCTGTATTATGAATTTACCGTTTTTAACAATCATACAGACATAGTAGTCTTATTTTTTGACAACTTCAGGGCTTGGCCATTGTTCTATTAGACAGTTTACTTTATTTTACTTTACACTTAGTTTTCTTCCCAGAAGTGACATTACTGCAACAACAACACTGCATTATACACCAATACAAAGACCAATTTCACTCAATTCATCACCACAGATAATAGATAAAAACCAAACTTTAGTGAAATTACAGGTGTTTTATCAGCAAAATATTCAAGATTCAAGATTAAGAGTAAGAGTAAGAATCAAGCTAGCATAAAAATAAAACAAGTATCTAAATGCAACAAAGTGCAAAGCACAATAGGATAAAGCTAACATTAAAATAAAGTACAACAGTAACTAAATGCAACAATGCTACAAAAATGACAGTTAACGTAGGTATATATAATATACAACAATATGCACTGTGCAGTTAGCCGCATAAATTGAGATAAAGTAAGTACAACTAAATATAGTGAGCGATTGTTTAAAGTGATAAACAGGAAGAAAAGACTTCCTCTGGCGTTCAGTGTTACATCGGGGGGGAAATGAGTCTGTTGCTGAAGGTGCTTCTGCTCGAGTTTAGCACCTGGTGGAGAGGGTGAGCGTTGTTGTCCAGGATACTTTGCAGTTTACACAGCATCCTCCTCTGAGACACCACCACCAAAGAGTCCAGTTGGACCCCCAGGACGGAGCCAGCCTTCCTGATGATCCTGCTGATCTTCTTGGCGTCTGCTGCTTTCAGCTTGCTGCCCCAGCACACAACAGCAAAGAAGATGGCACTGGCTACCACTGACTGGTAGAACATCTTCAGCATGATGTTACATACGTTGAATGACCGGAGCCTCCTCAGGAAATAGAGTCGACTCTGGCCCTTCTTGTAAACAGCCTCAGTGTTCTTGGCCCAGTCCAGTTTGTTATCCAGGTATACTCCAATGTATTTGTAATCCTGGACAACAGCCACAGTCACACCATTGATGGAGATGGGTGTGGGGGCGGATTTCCTCCTGTGGAAATCCACCACCAGCTCCTTAGTCTTGGTGGAGTTGAGATGCAGGTGGTTAGTTGCACACCACTCGACGAAGGAGTCCACAACGCCCCTGTACTCCTCCTCCTTCCCTTCACTGACACAGCCAACAATTGCAGAGTCGTCCGCAAACTTCTGCAGGTGGCAGGACTCAGAGAGGAACTGAAAGTCCGAGGTCTACAGGGTGAACAGAAAGGGGGAAAGAACAGTTCCCTGTGGAGCCCCAGTGCTGCTGACCTGATATACTGAAATATCAATATCATCATAAGAGAAAATTAGTAAGTAATAATAGTAATATTATATAATAAGAATATTATTACTCATGCATAAAAATGTAGTACTCGGAGAGGCATTTTAATATATGCAAGTATGTAATGTGTTTTATAAAGCATTGCTTTTTGCCTAATCTTTAGGGTATGTCTTGTAGAGCCTTTTGTCAAAATATAACTTTAAGACCTTTATTATGTTAGTTGATATTGTGCTTACATGGTACATCCTTAACCAAATGTGCATTAAATCAAATTAGCACACATACATTTGACATTCTTGAATTTCCCTCGGGATAAATAAAGTATCTATCTATTGTGCAAACAAGTGATATTCTAGAAAAAGAAGGCTTGTTAGTTTCTGGGTTTTTGCTGTTGGGGCAATTTTATAAATGTATCATATGTTGTGTATATTAACTCTTAATCTGTTAACTAGTAACTATGGCTGTAAAATGTGCACAATTTATATCCGAATTTTAGTGTTTTAGAACTATAAAGGTGCCTAACATAAAATGAAAATACCCAAGTACAAGTACCTCAAAACTGGACAAGAGGAAATACAAAAACAATGAGCAGAATAAGACAAAGAACTACAATTTCAGTATGTTGTTTATCTATGGTTTTATTTTATACGTATCTATTCCCTATATTTTGGTAATCAGCATTGGTTGATTAGGATGGGAACACTGTAATTTCCATGTTTTCATGGATTAATACATTTCCCTTGAAAAGTTACAGAGGACATGACCTCAGTGTCGTCAACAATAGCTATGGCCTTGACCCCATCTGTCTTTTGACTGCTCTAATGTCTGGGTTCACAGTCATTACTCTCTGTACTCTTTAGCATGGAGTGTATTTCTGTCACTCAGAAAACCTTGTTTTTCCACACCTACGAAAATAAAGACAAGCTGATTCAAGTGCCCTCAGTAATTAAAGTAATTAGGATTCTGTTGATAAAGTAATTTTGGGAAGCCTATTAGTGAAGCAATATTATTATATAATTGTTAATTACTGTGTGATACAACACCTGAGTCATAACACAAATGAATATGGTGATGCACCACTTTAAAAAGCTTGTCAGACGGTCTTCAGGAAACATTTTCTGTCAGCGATGGAACTTATAACTACTGTAGCCGCTCTGATTTTTCTTCTCTGCTCACAGATACAAAACACAGGTAAGACTACTTTTTCATTTCATAAATATTTAGAACAGAAACATTTTTATCACCTACTGTCAGAAAGGGTCTTGCAGGGTCTTGCATGCAAACCTGACTGAAGAAGCTGTTATGAAATCTGGTGGTACAGCAGCGGATACTTGGCACAAGAGTTTGAATTCTTTTCTTAAGAAATATGGTTGTCATTTCTGTGCTTTCTTAACAGTGGAGATGTGAGATGACCACAGCAGGTTCCCTAATGCTGATTCCCATTCACCTGCTACACCTCAGCTCCCTGATGTAAACAGGCGTGTGTGTCTTTACTTCTTTTTTCCTAAAATAAACAATCAGCTCTTTGGTTTTGCTGACGTTGAGCAGTAGATTGTTTTCTGTGCACTACTCTGCAAGATGATAATGGTGGTGTCGTCTGCAAACTTCACAACGAATGCAGTCATAGTTGTACAGCGTGAACAGGAGGGGGCTGATCATACAGCCCTGAGGGGCTCCAACATTGAGCACTAGAGTGGTGGAGGTGTGACCACTAATCCAAACTGTCTGGGGTCTGTTTGTGAGTAAGTCCAATAGCCAGTTGCAGAGAGCAACCAATCAGTTTCATGGAGGAGTTTTTGTTGAATGTTGAGCTGAAATCAACATATCAAATCAAGGTGTGTGAAGTATGAGTGGAGGGCAGTGGAGGTGGCATCCTCTCCTGTCACAGTGAAATGTTAGAAATGTCAGTAGTTCCATCAACTAGCTGATTCGGACATGTTTTTAGTAAGCAGGATTTTATCAGGCCCAGCAGCTTTACTCATAGTCACTCTCAGCAGAATTTCTCTCACATCCGCTCTTTGTTGAGGAGATAAAAGCTCATCTGGTAGCGTGGCCTCACACATGATGGGGGTGCTCCTGCTTGTGTAGCCTCTGATGATTTGAATCACCTGTCACATATTCTTGTCGTTGAGGTCTTTCTCCGGTCTCTTCAGTCTTGCTCTAGCGGTGTTGTTTGCTTCCTAATTAAGAGACGATAAATGTTTTTTTGTATAAATGCAATATATGTTCCCTTTGAGAGAAATTGTAAGTATTTTTGAAAAGTTAAATAAAGTTTAAAAAAAAAAGAGAAATAAAGTTGTTTGCTTCACCTGACCAAAAGGCAGTTTTGTTTTGGCTCTGGATAAAGCCCTCAACTCTCCATCCATCCAAACTTTTGATTTTATTGTCATTGTGATCACATCAACACATCATGTACAGTCCTGTAAACACTTTTAATGATGTTTGACCTTTTTCATCATCTGGGTGGGCAAGAGAAGCAGAGAAATATGGTCTGATAGACCAAAATGGGGACAGGGGAAGGCAGAAATATTTGTGTAGACTGGTCCATATTGTTTGTTCCCCTGGTGGGGATGTGGACGTGCTGGTGGAACTGAGGTAAAACAGTTCTCAGGTGTTTTCCGGTTGTTTTGTCATGTGACTGCTGATGACCTCATGAATAAAATATTGAAAATAATTTACAACTAGAGTCAGTATTTCTAAAATCCTGTGGAAGACGCGGCATCTGACAATCCTGAATTAGTGATGAAATTAGTATACATAATAATGTGTTCTCTCTTTCTTCTCTTTATTCTTCAAGGAGCTCTTCCGGTTTGGCATAACCATGGCAACTATCAACAAAACACTTCAGGAAATGGCAAACCCATACCTTGTATGAATTAATTTCTCAGCACTACACTTTGAAATTATCACATTGTTGAACTTTAATGTCCAGCGAGCAGTGGTGGAAGCAGTAGTCCTGCATTCAAAACCTTATCAGTAAATTTTATAAGTAAAAGTAAAAGTAATGTAACTGCAAGTATTATCAGCAGAATTTTAAGTATCAGAACCAGAAGTTTACATTTTGCAGTAAAACGGTCCCTGTCAGTGTTTTTACTATTATATATAATGTTTTAGGATTAACATTACTGCTGCAGTAATTAGTATGTTGCATTTCACTGATGTAGACATTTAAGGTTGAGTTAATCTCCTCCTTTATATACTGTTGGGTAGTTTAATACATCACATTATATAATATCATTATATGTATGTAGCGTCACTGTCCTGTTAGAACCACGTAGCTACTTCTAAAAAGTGAACTTTTCATGAGTTCAGAAAACAGCCCTTTTTTTTTAGATTTGTGACAATGCATTTCCCCACCACCAAGGGGGTTATTTGTTTATTTAGTTTAATTACTGGGAGGATTCTCTCAGCCCATAAAGGAACACCTTTAATCCTTCAGTTTATCACAAAATTGTATAAAATACTAGTACAAGTACAAGCACCTTGAATTTGTACTTAATTACAGTACTTAAGTAAATGTACTGATGCTTAATCATTTTTGTAATTCTTAGCATCCTTGGTGAAAGAAACTGTTGCTGCTAAGACCCAAAATGAGAGCCCTCCATGTCAGATTGTTCCTGACGATCCTTTGACGGGAATCGACGCCACTCCTCCACCTCTAATCCCTGTCAATAAACCAGGACAGGATGCACATCGGACAAATCCTCCTCTTGCACCTACTGCCAGTAACCCAGGGCGGGGTACATATCAGCAACCCCCTCCTCTTCCACCTAATGTATTCTACCAACCTATTGTGCCTTATTATGTTCTCCCACCTAATCCAGTCAGTGGGGGGTTTTATGTGTACGGACAAGGTCCTGATAGAGCCAGGTTTACACCAGGAAGGGGTCGGCTTCCTCCACACTCACCTTTTGGTGCATCTGGCTTCCTCCCAGCTTCTCAGTGGTTCTTGGATCTTCAGAGAGATAAACACCTCCCAGTGAGAAATCCAGCAGGAAATCAAAGAGCTCCCCTCCTGGCTCAAAGGTCTGATTATACATCAAGTGAAATGTCATCTGAAGAGGATAGTGACGGTGACTGAAGAGATACAGGAGGGGATCATGAGACTGATTCAGTCTTTTGAACATGTAAGGGTAACACTTATAAATGAATAACTGTACTAAGAGGAGTTTTCTTGTTAACAAAGTTTCTGTTCTACATGTGTTGCCCACCAAAACCCTTTGTATGAACATACTGAATCTATTTCCTTCCTCATAAAGCATTTGCAAAAGCTGATTTTTCATGTTTTCTGCATTGTCATTGCCTTTGTTGGCACATTAGTGTTTCCTGACATGTTACTACCGCCTGTAGATCAGTGGAATAATGTGCTAGTTATTGTACTTTAGTATTCCATTACATGAGACAGCATTTAGAAAGAAGAGTCAAAACTAATACAGCAGAAGACTTTTAGTCCTTGATATTTCATAGCATGCACTGGCTCCTACACTTTCTGATAGACAAACCCATCTCTTACCCTCTCTTGTTAACACAGACATACTTTAAACAGCACACGCCCAATTGGTTTTGTTCAAATGTGTAGACCTTTGACAAATCTTTTGCAGTGCCACAGAAAACTTAATACCAGAGGGCAAAATAAACTTTTTTTGTCCACTAGTCAAATGACTAGTAAATGGGCTAATTATACCAGTCACTCAATAGATTACTAATGTTTATCTGGATAGTGAGAGAAGTAAATCCATCAGCCACTTGCATATTTTACCAGCATTTTTCATTGTGTGAACTGTTTTCACAGTAGTAAAAGTAGGACAAACTGTGAGAAGTAAACTTAATGTTTAAATCTGTGGGTTTAGTGGCATAGCAGTATAGTTGCAGATTATAGCCCCCCTTACCTCAATTCTTCCGTTCCAAGCGTGAAGGGTAAACTATAGTGGCCTCAAAACTTGTGAAAAATGCTAAATGTCCTATATAGAGGCAGTGTTTGGTTTGTCTGTTCTGGGCTATAACACAAGTTTTTCACCTGATATTAGACATAATTGACAACTTATTACACTCCAGAGAATCCGTTGACTCAGTGAAGTGGTCGGATTCAAAGGTCTTCTGAACAGAGGAAAAAAAACTTCCTCTTTGAGATTAAGACAAATAATGATCCTTAAAGTTTTCTCTGCTTGCCACTCAACCTTCATTTAATAAGTTAAATCTGCACCACAGTAGGGGATATCTCCTTTACTACATCCTTTACTACATGCATGGGAGAATTCTGCTTTCTGCTCTCGGTTTTGGCTACCCTATCAATATCTTATTATTCACATCACCTTTTATGGAGAAACCTGCAAACATGACAAACGGTATGAGTGGTGCTGATATCAGTAGTTTATTGTATGTTAAGTCCAACACATTCAAAATAGAAAGGAAGAAAAAAATAAAATAAAATAAATTCTCCACCTGCAACACTTTTGTACTAGCAACAAGTAAAGGGTAAACACAGTAAAAAAAAAAAAATTAAGATGGCAGCCAACTGTTTACCACACCTGCTAAAGCCAAGAAGGTACTTCTATTCCCATTCAAAAAGGACTGGAATGATTCACAATGAGGATCCACTCTACTGTATTTTCAACCACAGGAAAATAAAATGACAGGATTTTTTTCTTTTTCTTACAAGGATCCTTTAAAGTTTGGAAAAGGATGGGTGGTTGGTTGAAAACCTCAGTGAAAAAGAACTATCCAACCTTAAATTTATATGCTCAAACATTTTTTTTTTTTTAAACCACCACTACAAATGTAAAAGCACAGATTGGTCTGAAAGCATGATGGCTCTTCTTCACCACTCTCTTCATTGACCGTTGCTGTAAAAAGTATAATTGCAGTCAAGTGCCCATGTTAAGCAATTACCTGACAAATAAACACGTGGGGTAGAGGCACCCATAAGAGCTGTCTGTTAAAAACACTCAAAGACCAAAAGAGCTGTAGTTTCTTTTTTTTCCTGTAATATTAGGTCAAAGACTGATGGTAACAAATTAAGAGTCTCTCTATCGAAAACTATTCTCACATCTGAAAATATTTCATCTCAACCACAAGGGAGAGTAGTCGAGCATCACTGTGGAAAACTACATAAAATATGCCATGTCTGTACATCAAATCTTGTTTTAACTGCAACAGAGCGAATACTATTTCATGCCGATAACAAGATGAGCACTAATATTTGCCTGTTTTCATCGCCAGATGAGAAATTTGGAGAGAGGCTGTGTTCAAACTGACAGATTGTCCCAGAAACGTTGGGAATAGTGCAATACCACCAGACAAGGAAGACCTCATTAGTATATTTGTCCAGAAAAATGCTACATCGATTTCACTTCTCATTTCAGTGCAAGATAACAAAAATAAAAATAAAAAATAAAAAAGACAACATCTCATGTTTGTCATGTTTTCCTTTCCAGCTGAAACCAAAAAAGGTCTTCCCTCCCTACCGAGTGGTAAAAAGAAAATACGACGCGGACAAGGAGGAGACGACTAGTATGGCATTCAGATTCGACTCGCTTCGAATGGAAAAAATAAATGGATAAAATAAGCACAATGAATAATCAGCATATGAAAATACAAATGCATAAAACAGCTAGAAAAAGTGAGCACAATTATTTGCTAGTCTGTGGGCTGGAACTATGGCCAGCCCACCCACACAGATCATTACAAAATTGTTGCTGAGAAAAGAACAGTCTGACAACTTTTGAGTCCAGGGATTAACCTGAGTGCTGCCATGAGTCGCAAAAAACTATGGTCAGACCGAAAGTAAGAATCAACAGTATCTGAATCACATTGAGACTCTTTCCAAACTGCAAACCTTTGTTCACTGAAATCATGGTTTTGTAGAGCTTTGACATGTTAACCAAGGACCAAGCATTGCACTGTCACCATCTTTAATGTACCTTTTTTTCTTTATGGGAGTAGTTCTTCAGATGCACGACTTAACCATTTAACATCAAACTGAACTTGAGGCACCTATTGTCTCTACAAAACCCAGATCAGACAATACAAAACAAATGTACAAAACTCACAACAGATCATCTTAGGTAGTAAAACAGTATGGAAAAATGAAATATGCACCCGAAAAACTTAAATCTTGTGAATACTGCAATTTTTTTTTTGTATCTGCTCCCAGTGGACAATAGTTCAAAATCAGCAGCTCCGCATTAGAAGGCAGCAAGCCCCGAACTGCTTTACGCTTTAGTAAGACTGGAAAAGGTGAAATAGAAGGCACCATCATGCTCTTATCAAGTCGAGAGAGAGAAATGAAAAATATACACAGAAAACAAAACATACAGTAAACTATGATTTTTGCTGTACATTTATTCTGTTACTCCGCACTTAAGACAGGAAGGGAGGGAAGAGGGAGGGAGGTGTCGTCCATCCCAGTTTTCGCGGTCTAGCTGGCAGGGAAAAACATGAAGAAAAAACAAACTCGGGATCAAAAGAAAAACAGAGCAGCCATCATTACCACCACTCTTCTATTGTTCAACTTTGTTTCTTGTTTATCCTTTGCACCCCCACTCATTTGGTGAAAGTCCAGGATTTGAGCTTTTTTTATTTTTTATATTTGATTTATAAATGAGGAAAAATATAATGTAGATTTGCTTGTCATCTTGTCCATCCAGCAGTAATTGAAGCGTAGTTTTGGGTCAAAAGTGTGAAAAGTACATTGGTCACAGCAGACAGGCTGTAAGCGAGGCCTGCCCCGGTAAGTCGTATCGCGTTGAGACAAAACAGGTCTCTCCAGCTGCGTTCCGAGCATGGATGTCAATGTAATACGACAAAAGTACCCATTAGTGCATATTGATGAGTGCATTATGCAATTTTGAAGCAGTGGTCTCTCAAAAGGAAAAAAGTAAAAGGCAAGCTTTTCCCCTGGAACTGCACAAATTTTGCATCTCACTCTTTTCCAACAGTAACGGGCAGAAAACTACCATATAAAATGTGCAATAGAGGGATTTCGTGAAGCAGCGCCCCAGTTAAGTCAAGGCATATAATCTCTTTTCCAAATGATGGGCTGTATTGTCGTAGTTAAAAGTCTTATCAGTCCCTCCTAATGTGGCAGATTTCTCCTGGTTGGTTTGCCTTTTTCCACGAATTTACAAATTAAAGTTTGTGAATTCTTGAGATACCCGAAAAGGATGCTCAGCTCACAACTAATAAGCGAAATTTTTTGTTTGCTTATTTTGTTTTGTCTATTTCACAAACAAATGGTTGACAGGCTGTGTCACATTCCAAAGCAAAGAGGGAACAAAAAAATAAAAAATAAAACAAAAAACAAATATATACGTTTATACATGAAGATTTCTTTTCGTTAACGAGAACGGTTGAAGATGAAGAACACGGTACTACTTCCACACTGCAGGTGGTGCTCTTCTCAGCGGCGCTGGGTGGTGAAGCGACCCTCTCCTTGGCCGCCAGAGCCTCGTCCGGAGCCCATGCCAGGTTTGGGGGCCATGCCGCCTCGAGGTGGTGGTCCCCTCCCGTCGCGTTCACGCATCATTCCACTTCCAACGATGCCTCGCGAACCTCCGGGGCCCCGGTCGTTGCGCCTCATGTCCCGACGCTCGTCTCCTCCACCGCGGGTCTCGCGTTCACGCACCGCCCTCGTCTTCTTCTCCTCCACATTCAGACGCACCTCGCCTCGAAACATGATGGGCTGCAGAGAGAAAAGCAAGGTCAGTACAGGAGAAACCAAGACTGAATATTTATTGCTATTTCACAACCCACATCATTCGCTGGTTTGCACACAAGTTTGTTAATCTGTCCCTGACCCTATGTAAGCACTGCTCTGTGTCACACTGGACCCGATGAGATCTGTGTCCCCGCCAGTGAAACTACTTAATCTCTGAGGCTGTGTTGGGACTGACTTTAGCCCTGCGTGAAAAAATGCAGGCTCCTCATTCATTTGAAACAGGCCAGTCCGGCATCAGTATGGGGGTGCCAACGCAGCATTGTCAAAAACAATCAACCTGGCTGAACTTTTGCTGCAACACTACTTTAACGTAATACGTGATAATAAGTGCCACATTGGTCAATCAAATACATGCACACACACATTCCTGGTGGATTACCTGAGCAGAACATTTATTTATAAAAAGAATTATAAACTGTCTCTACTGTGTCTGACCAATGTGTATCACCAAACCACCACCAAAAGAATGAAAGTGGGTAATGAAATGTCAATACATGCCCCTTCTACCTTGGCCCCCAGGATTCTTTGCACAGGATCAGAGTCGTCAAAGACCACAAAT